CTTCTACAGACCACAGGCCAAAGGACGATCCCCGTTGGTTTTACTTGCTCATGCACATCCATCTGCTCTCTCAAATGCACTTGGGAACACTCACTAATGTCATTGGGCATGAGGAGTGTTTAAGGAGACCACAGCCTTGTAAGAAAGTGGTGCACTGTGGGTGGTGTGAGAAACATGTGTATGTTACTATAAAATTACAATGGTAAATTCTCTACCTCTGAGCTACATCCCCAGCCCTGATTAGGTCTTTTTAAAAATATGATTTTCTTTTCAATTTTCTTAAAATTTGTTTTAGTTAGTTATACATGACAGTAGAAGGCATTTATGTACTTTGACGTATCGTACATAGATGGGATATAATTTCTCACTTTTCTGAGTGTACATGTTGTAGAATCATATTGGTCATGAAGTCACATATACACATAAAGTAAATAACATAATGCTTCATTCTACTATCATTCCTACCCCCACATTCCCTTCCCTCCCCTCATTTCCCTCCATCTAATCTAAGGTAATGCTATTCTTCTCTAGTGTCCCCCACATTATTGTAAATTAGCATCCGCATATTAGAGAAAACATTTGGCCTTTGGTTTTGTGGGACTGGCTTATTTTGCTTAGCATGATATTTTCCAACTCCAACCATTTACTGGTAAATACCATAATTTCACTCTTCTTTACAGCTAAGTAATATTCCATTAAATATATATACCACATTTTCTTTATCCATTCATCTATTGAGGAACACCTAGATTGGTTCCATAGCCTAGCTATTATGAATTGATTTTTATTATTTAGAAAACAAAATAATGTGCTAAAATGTTTAATATACCAAAAACCATTTTTTTCACCAACCCCCGCAACAAGGCATTAATTTAAATTCCTAGGTTCACTGTAAATCACACCGATCTAAGAATAAAGCATCTCCTGCCAATTCTGTGAATATATCTGTACTTTATATAAATAATGACATCACTGATAAGAAAAGATATGCTTTTTAAATTTGACCTGCACCTAGCCCCTAATCTACAACTACCCAAAGAGTATGCTATGACACAGTAAGTACCACACTCAATCTAATATCAAGCCATGCACAACATGTCATGTGGCAATAAATCTCACTGTGGCTCTGAGTCTGAGGTGTAATAATAATGTGCTCAATTTAACAATGCAGGGTCACAATGGTTCTGTACATCAAACTGCAGTCAGAGCAGCAACCAAAAAAATGAAAACGAAACATCTGGCAAACATAAATACATGTGACTAATTTGAAACTGATATGTTGAGAGAAACAAACTTAGGCCTTAAAATTCAAAACACCGTTTGGGAGACAGAATGACTCTCACTCAACTACAGACAAGCACAGTGCCTTTCTTGGAGGCATCGGAACTGCCTTTTCCTATATATGATGTTCATTCAACAAAGTGAGAAAGGGGCTGTTGAATGTCAAAAGAGCTGAAAAAAACAAGTTTGACTGTGGCTTGCAGAGAACAATAAAAAACAGCAAAACTTATTTACAACCCATGGTTTCTCAGTTTGTTGGAACCTGCAGCAGAAAATGACCACAATGACTGGCCCCGAGAACACACCCGTCCCTATGGAGGCAAGCTTAACCAACCTAACTGCCAAGATAAGACAAAAATGCTGTTATCTTCAAAACCTCCTCTACCCCATACCTGCACTCCTAGACAGAGGCTTAAGGAACAAATGTTTTCAGTTGATTCTATGAAGTGGCAAATCCATGCACAACTAAAAACGCCAGTCTCCATTTGAAGAAATGCATAAGAGTCATTACCATCAATCACATTTTCAAATCAAGGGAAGAGAAATCTTCAAGAGGAGAAAAACTGGATACCATGAAGGCCACCTTACTAAGCAAAGCCATAACCATGGCAGCTGAAAAAATCTTTGTTTTCCACTGACATTAGTGACCACCAACAGCAGTCCAAAATCTGAGTCATCTACCTGCACTATACTCTTCAATTTTTAACTGAAAATCTGACTAAAATTTGTAACAAAAATAAAAAACATTGATTTTTGTATTGCAGAAATGTACTCTATGATGGTGATATTTCATTTTGATCTTGGCTGCACGTATGTTTTAGTATGTGACCATTCCACATTCATTCAAAACGTATGTGCTATGCATATCTGTGTTACCAACACTGAAAATCCAAATGGCTAGAGAAAGAAAAGCAAGCAAAGCTAAACTCCATGACTAATGAAACCTGACGCCAGTATATGATTACTAAAGCCAGGCACAGTGGTACTTGCCAGTAATCCCAATAACTTGGGAGGAGGATCTAAAGTTTGAGGCCAGCCTCAACAATTTAGCAAGGGACCTAAACAACTTAGTGAGACCCTGAGACTCAAAATAAAAATTAGAGGGCATGGGATGTGGCTCAATGGCAAAGTGCCTCCTCTGGGTTCAATCCCCAATACCAAACACCACCACCACCACCCCATTTCAATACTCCAAAGTCTCAAAAGTTGCCAGAAAACACTTGTTAAATTCATCCTCATGCAGCAATTACTTAAAATGTTTGTGGTTTTCTTGGTGGGAATTCTCAATATCTCAAACTCAACCTTAAATACAGAACAATCACAATCTGCTTTGACAACTTTTATAAGTTAACCCAGGGCTGGGCATCTCCAGATTGTTCAAGTATCCCAGACATTTCACAAGACTCCTGGGTCCTGCAGGAGCTGCCCTCGCTGGTCTGGCCGCTCTGCGAGTGCGTTCGCGCATCCTGTGCTGTGGGAACAGGGGATCCCCTTCACACAACTGAAACCAGAACAGGTAACCTACAGACCCCCCGCCCCGCCCCCCGCAAGTACAGAAGGCGCTGCACTGGCACTGTGAGAAAAAGTGCTGCAGACCAGCTCTGCAGGTAAAGTCTGGGCTGGGGCGCGACATGATCCATCACTTCTGTCAGACTGAGTCTGTCTTTTTTCTGAATGAATGTGGTGTAGCCACTTTGCAATAATTCTGAGGTGAGAAAACAAAGGCTGTAAATGGAAACAAGAGTGGTAACATCAAGGAAGAAAAGATACTGGACCTACTAAAACAAACGAAGTGAAGTTAGTGACCGAAACAGAAAACTGCAAGTCATTTGTGAACACGTGCATACCAATGTTCTGTGGTGAGAAGCGCTCTTTGAGGATGTCCACAAAGTCACTTTTCATGATAACAGCAAATGCACTGCCGAGAGATACATTCAGGGGACAAAAATTAAAATCTCAAAGAATTATCCAACATGACTAAACCTTGTGATACTTACCAACTTAGTGGCTGTGGAACTTCAACTTTCTGACCATCCACCTCCAGGTCTTCCAATTCCTTGAAATACTTGTTCTTCAAGCAATGGAGAATTTCTTTTGCATGGCTATTAAAAAACAAGCAAGCTTCATACACTGCAGTCTTTAATACTTCATGTGTTTTAAAACTGAAACCAACTGCATGGAGAGAAGATGTTCCTCAGCCATTGCCTTTACACCACATTCCTTAAAAATTTATGAACAATATTTATGAATCACTAAATGCCTTCCTTGCATTTATTACTTGCGGCTCATTTTTACTTGCATCTCATCTTAGAAAGCTCTTAACTACAGTGATTGGAAATAAACACCTAGCTATATCAGGCAAATTCAATGTCATATATTCTCTTGTTGCAAAGGCAGGATCCTCAGCTCACCAATTCCTCACCAAACCTTTCCCTCTGGCCACCAAATGCAATGCCTCCTTGACCTATACTTATTTCACTAACCCCTGAGCCCCTGGTCAATATTTCCTGAATGCAAACGGCCGGAAAGAGGCAGCTCTGCGGCGCTCCAACATTCCCCGGAGGAACCCCTGGGCCTGGACCTGCCGGCAGCCCTACCTCTTGTAGCCAGTAATTCTCAAAGTGGCCGGAAGGGGTTCCCGGAGTGCGCCCATGAACTGGTCCCACTCGCCCTCGGGCACGATCTTGAGCTCCTGGTAGTAGTGCTCGAACAGCTTGTTCTCCTTGACGATCTCGGGGTACCCGCCTTCCCAGCCCTGGGGAGCAAACGGGAGTCTAAGCAGGGCGCAAGGAGCCTCCCCTCGCCGGCGCCCGCGGGCCCGGGGGTCGGGAGGACCAGGCGGCGCCCGGCCCGCCGCGCCCGGCTCCTACCGCCTCGCTGCGCTTCCCGCCGCCCTCGGCGCCGTCCTCCACGCCCTCCGGCCGCTGCTGCTGCTGGAGCCGCCGACCCCGCGCCCGCCGCCCCATGGCCCACGCGGCCGCGCACGCTGCGCGCAGACACCGGCCCGCCAGGCCGTGACGCTCAGGACTTCCGGCCTGTGCCCAAGGCCCCCGTGAGGGTGGGCCTGGTCCTTTCAGGGGTCATCAAGAAATGTGCCCAAAGCGCCACAACCCGTCCTCCCGGAAAACGAGCGCGAGAGAAACGCAGCACGCCGCAAGGAAGAGAGGCTCTTGAGAGGAGCTCCAAACACGTCTTTATGAGAAGCACGCCGCTCTCTCCCAAGCGCAGGCATCTCCGCGGACCGCCTGGGAACGGCGCGTGCGCAGAGCAATGCGGGACCCCGTGGAGGGTGCTCCTGCAGCCCTGGAGTAGGCGTGGAGAGGAGGGCTCTGAGTGCGGGGGCGGGGCTCCGGTCGCGTGGGGGCGCGGCCGGCTGTATGGGCGGGGTTTCGCGAGGGCCAGGGCGCTGCTCCAGTGGTGTGGGCAAGGGCCGTCGGAATACGCGGGCGGGAGGGCGTGGCTCCGGCTTGTGGGCGGGGCTCCAGTTGTGTGGGCGTGGCGCGCTGGGTCCGCCGGTTTGGCGGGTCCTACTGGCCGGCTGGGTGGCGGAGCAGGTGGCTGGTCCCACTCCCGGACCCCTGCTTCTACCGCGGGCCCGGAGGAGGCTGAGTCGTAGGCGGCGCGCAGGCTTTGCGTAACCAGGCCGCCCGCCCCCTTCTGCCGCCCTATATGGCACCCGCCGCCGCTTCCTGGCATGGAGCGAGCGGCCGCCTGCCGGGATGGAGCTGGCGGAGCCGCGCCTGCTGGACGCGCTCGCCTGCCTAGAGTGCTTCCTGGGCGCCCTGGGCTTCGTGTGGATCTTGCTGGTGGGCGCTCCCTATGGCCGCTACTCACCGCAGTGGCGGGGCCGCCGCCTTCCCGCGAAGACCGCCTGGGTCCTGCAGGAGCTGCCCTCGCTGGTCTGGCCGCTCTGCGAGTGCGTTCGCGCGTCCTCGGAGCGCCTCCGCAGCTGGCCCAACCGCATCCTCCTGGCCATGTTCATCGTCCACTATGTGCACCGGTAACGTCCCCCGCTGCCGCGCGCTGCGCCGGCGGTGCGGCTCCCTGTATCCCGCGACCCCGGAGTTAGTTCAGAAATACTGGGGGTTGGTCCGGAAAAGACGTGCGACGGTTAGAAAGGGCAGAAAAGGCGAGATGGGAAAAGGCGTTGGGACTTTGACCTGGGAAGTGACAGTCTCACATGGATTGAGTTCCTCTGGAGGTAGTCTGCAGTTTCTGACCCCAAGACATGGCGCTGGTTGCCTTAAATCACTATTGCAGTTGTGTTACCCTTTGGGATGTTTGTCCCTGGTGGAACGTTTCCCCTAGTCAGATGACCCCGCTGCAACTAGAGAACCTGGTCCAAAAATTTATACTCGCACACCAATTCAGACTTTCTCCAGCACCTTATGCAAGGACTATGGGGATGGCTTTCCAGGCAAGGACCCTAAACACATCTTAAGAGTGACTTTTAATTTGGGGGGAGTGGGGGGCAGTTGTGAAGATTTTTTAAATGATTATCTGAAGTCTTTAGGTCTAATAAGTTGGGGTTTGTCTGGCTTTTAAACAGCTAAAGCAAATAATTGACCAGAAATTTTAAATCAAAATGTTAATGTTTTCATTCAGGCTCTGAAAAACTGCACAGTTAAAACAATGTGCCTGCATCTGAGAAGGCTGAGTTCAGCTGCTGTTGGAAAATAGGCAGGTTAAGCAACCTCTCTGATTTTTGGAACCTACCTTAAAACACCCACCTCCTAGAAAGGTTGAGAGAATTCAACTTGTGTGTGTTTACAAGACTTTTTTCTCTGCTGGTGTCTTACATTCCACTGGAGGAAAAGGACAGAGTTTCAGATCCAGTGACCAGAACAGGTGGCTGGGACCCAGAGGGCTTGCTGTACAGGAGTTAACTGGAGACAGGCACATTACACCTGACCAACTGCCTCTAAGCTCTCATTGCAGGAACGTTAAACCAGGCCAGAGTTGAACAAAGGCTAAGTGAGTACTATGTAATTTAGGCTCCTAAAGAGTATTCTGTTAAGCAGAGTTATTGTCAGGCTGCTTGATCTATTTTTTTGTTATGTGATAGAGCTTTACTGCAATTTTAATATCAATGAGACTCCTGTCTATATATACTTTTCCATAAATTCATCAGAACTTGTGTTTCTCTACTGGATAAAAGCGAGCTCTGGAGTCAGACTGTTAGATATGTTGACCTAAATAACAGATATTCTCCAAAGATTAATAAATTTGAGAATAGCAGAGCATTGCAATGAAGTCTGTGGATATGCTTCCCTGGGGGAAGTTTTCAAGACAACAAAACAAGGATTTATGTGAAATATTTTCCAACAATGGTGCTTGGCTACAAAGGTCAACAACAAGGGTAGTATCAGCACAAGAATAAACAATTGTTGGACAGACATCCTTGCAGAAGTTATATTTTGGGTAAGGTTGTGGTGGCCATTGTTCAAAGTTGTAGGTCTGGCAGTCTTTTTGCTGGTTCTTGGTACTGGGCATGTATACATGAGATCTCCTTCCTCAAAGCCATCTGCTGCATGATCTGCTGGTGGTGTTTATCAGCTGTATGATCTGCTAGTGGTGTTGTTAGGACTTGACAGAAGTGACTTGTTGCTGATTTAACACTTTCACATTTCTCCCTTTGGGTCAGGCTTTTTCTCTGAGAGCATTGCCACTCGATCATCATGGACTTGGGTTTGATTGTTCTTAGGTGCCAGGACTAGCCTGTCTGGTTGTTGGTTTGGTCTAGTCTGTCAACACTGAGTAAAGAGTAGTTGAGAAGTCTGTCAACATATGACCATATTTTAGCCACATCTGAGCGATAGATAAAGAGGTTTAGAAAAAGTGAATCTCAGACTGTTTAACTGAGTCCGCTATTAGTCATTTTTTTCTCCCTATTTTGTAGACATTGGCTATCATCAAAGTCCTGGGCCATCATTATTCTGTTGTACTTCTGTAGAAAGTTGTCAAGCAATAGGTATGAATTCAAAGTGAAATAATATAAAACAAATCCAACAAATCCAATTACATAACAATTTAGGGGCCTTGAACCAAGGCATGTGTGAGGCCCTGGATTTGATCCCCAGTGCCACACACACACACACACACACACACACAAACACACAAAATTAAATGTCCAATGGGAACTGTTGTAACCATTGAGCCTATTCGCTTATTTCTCTTATTTTGTATGGTTGGGTCTCAATATTCACAAAAGGATTTATCCAGATACAACATGTGGTATTACCACTGGCACAGATAATTTTATCATTCAATAGCCTGTAGCTAGGTTGAATTGAGAGCGTTATTAAAACGGACAATTAGAATAAGTTGAACGAAAAGTTGAGTTGGGGATGTTGCCAGAGCTACCTTCTAGGTGAAGTAAAGGATTCCTTAGATTCTGCCAGGTTACTTACAGTAGGGAGATTGTGAAATATTAACTACAACAGTATCCTATCGTGTGATAGCAACAAGGAAAGATTCAGAGGGCAAGGACACTGCATTGTGATAGGGAGAATTGTTCCACCATCTTGGGAAAAGCTGCCCCCAGGCTGACCAGCCAAACTTCTCATATTGATTTGTAGTTGGAGTCTCTGGTTAAAGCATCAGGTGGTTTGATAAACTTGCTGTGAAGCCTATACATCAAACACAAGGCTTATTTCTTGAAATTTGTATCAAGCTGCATCGTTTCAGCTTTTAGCTCTTTAGAAAAGAGCAGTTCCCGTTCTTAGTTGGAGAATTGTAGCCAGATATTAGGGAAAAAGCTAGGATGATTTAGGATCTAGTCCCATCTAGAGGTAAATAGTAGGAACCCGAAAACAATGAATAAAGATGCAGTCTAATAGTGAGTGTACTGTAGTTTGCTTCTGAAACATAATTTTGTACTTGCAGTCTTACCAAAATTGGAGCAAAAGTAATCAAAGAAAAACTAATTATTTTGCAAAATAAGCTTAGTCTTACCAATTTGGATTATTTACATTAGCTCAGCAGGACATGTGAGTTGCCATATTGTAATCTCAGATTTTGAACCCTCTGAAGGTAGGCTTCAGGTTTCACATGTAGCACCACGATGCCTTAGAGTCCCAGGGACTACAGAAGAGTGACAGTTTTTATTTGCTCACTATAAGGCTGGGAACCCTTGAAGCCGGGAATTCTACACATATTTTCAAATATGGCATTCCAATTGAAGCCATTGTTCCCATCTGTAGACTATAAAGAGAACAGATTCTTACTAAACTTGTACAAATTACTATATTTGCATAAAAAATAAAAGTATGATTAGTTTCTGAATGTTTGAAGTACCAGGTAGGGAAGAAAAATGTGTTTCTGTGTTCACAAAAGCGTACTTTACTAAATTGCTGTAGACTATAAGAAAGATGTTTTCTCAAATCTAGAAGACAAAAGCATTTAAGTTAAAAAGCCAAAAACTATTTAAATAAAAGATGTAAAAATGTGTAAATTGTATCAGTTTAGTCCATCTCACATGAGGGGTCCGATTCAGTTTGATCTTGGCTAGTGGTTTCATGAGCCCCTCAGTTTCTTCATTGAGTCCTGGAAATTCCTGTTGATTCCATTGATCTTCAGGAGTGCTCTTTAGAGTATTGGTGTGTTAATGCTCAATGATTGCAATCGTGTAGGAAAGAATCAGAATGGGGGATGACAAGAGACTTAGAATAGCCTGCTTAGCATCCTGACAAGAGTTCAGCAGAGGATGAGGAAGTAGTGATTTTCATCACATACAGGATTTTAAAATACAATCAGGACTGTCAGCATGACTGACACTAGGAATATCAGAATTCATAAATTTTACATCAGTAATCTGTCCATACAAATATAACTTTAAAAAGATTTAGCATTGCTTTATTATTTAAAGTGTTTCCCATTCAACCCAACGTTCCAGGTAAGCAGAGTTGGTTTATTACAAAATAAGGTTTGTTTCCCTTTGAGGATGTTTGGTGGCCTGTGTTAGTCAGTTTTCCATCCCTGGGACAAAATACCTGACCTAAGCAACTCACAAGGAGGATAAGTTTATGGTTTAAGGTTCAGAGATTCAGTTCATGGTCAGTTGACCACGAAGCATTGGGTCTGTGTGAGGCAGAATATCATGGCAGAGCAAGTGGAGGGGGCAGCAAAGAGAGAGGGCAGGGCCCTGGTCGCACTCTCCCTTTACGTAAGTTCCCAGTGACCTTCCTTCCACTAGGCCCTGCCATCTAAAGGTTCCAGCACCTCCCAGGGGTACCATCAGCTGGGGACCAAGTCTTTAGCACATGGACCATTAGGGGACACTCGAGATCCACAGCCCAGCTGGAAAATCTCCGTTAACTCTACGTGAAAAGACTCATTTAGAACTTTGATTCTGGGCAGAATGCTCCACATGTCAATATTTTAGAAACATTCAAGCAAAATAGGGTTAATATCAATATCAAATAATAATCAATTATTGTTAAACGAGAATGACAAGTAAAATAATTCAATAGCAAATAGATGTGGAAAAAAAAAGAGGGCCAATTTTCCTAAGTAACCAAAAACTTATAAAGACACCATGAAACACAGGAAATCGTCTTTTTTTTATATATATTTATTATTTTTTTTTTTTGGTTATAGTTGGACGCAATACCTTTATTTATTTTTATGTGGTGCTGAGGATCAAATCCAGGGCCTCGCACGTGCTACGCGAATGCTCTACTGCTGAGCCACAACCCCAGCCCAGGAAATTATCTTGATATAACAAAATCTTTGTTTCTCAGGTTGGTTGCCAAAAGGTAGGAAAAAGATCCTCCCGTGGTGTGCTTGCTTCTGTTGGTAAGCCTGGGAAGGTACCTGGAAGTCAAGCCTGGTGAGAAGGTGCTGGGGATTAATTAGAGCCTGGAGGAGCATGTGTTGCACTCCAAGAGTGCAAGTCATAGTGACAAGTGAGAACCAGCTCCGTTTGCAGTACCCCACGCTTCTCAGCACCTCTCATGGAGGTGCATGAAGTCATCTGGTTTCAGGACAGTATGTCAGGAA